GGGCATCGGTTGGCGCCCTGGGCAGCTGCCCGGCTCGCCCATGCCTCCATCCGGCCCTGTCCTTATACCATCCACACAAGGCTCTGTCACCTCTGCTAGCTTGAGAGGTGGGGGGGGGGGGGTTTGCCCTGCTGGGGCCCATATTTCTAGAGCGTGCCAAAGGACTTCTACCGGGCATCTTTGCTGAAGCCATTTTAAAGATGCAAGGGATGAGGTTTGACAAGAGATCTCACTGATTTCGGAGGGGACAGGGGGAGCAGGGAATAAATACATAATCCGATGCTTTGATAAACCCCTGCTCCCGGGGCAATGAGTTCCTTTGAGATGTAACTGATTCTTGCCATCAGGCACCACCCTGCTCTCCCGGAGGGTCACTGCTTTCCCACATCCAAACGCATTATCCTACAGACCCTGCCTTTTGTACAACACACTTCATCTATTCATGTGCAAAGCAGCTGTAATCCCCGGCCTTTCACAGTCAATATACCAGGAAATAATAAATCCCTCTTGTGCGCCCTTGAATATCCCGAGAGGTGACTTGTGGGAATTTCCACTAGGCAGAAAAATAATAACTGCTTCATTTTAAATAATTTTTAATACTTGCTGTAAGGAAAATAGGTCATTGGCCCATAAATATTTCACGGCCACTCACTGAAGCAGCTGGGGAAATTGATTTCACTTCTAACTACCTTGGAAATTCTCAGAGAGGTAGCCGAGTTAGTCTGTATCTGCAAAAACAAGTCCTGTCGTCTCTAAGGTGCCACCAGACTTGTTTTTATCTTGGAAATGCAGATCAGGTTGTATCATGTGTTTTGTGTTCCCCGATGATCAAAACCTTCCCTGAAGAACCTAGGAATGATGCTAGTTAAGAAGGAGGGATCAAGGAAGAAAATGAAGGTTAAATGTACAGGGAGGGTGACTTATAGCTGTTGCATTACAAAAGGTCTTCCTCGTTTGGGGGGGAGGGTGGTCCGCATTAAAAAGTCTGTACCTGCCTCCTGCATCCAGAAGGTGAGAGGTGAGGTAGTCCAGACAATGGCACAGTAATCATTAATTACACATAATGTGCCCAATGAGAACGTCTTTTCCTCTGAAAAGGGCCGATTCTGCCACACTTACACTGCGTGGCTCCTCTGGTCTGTTGTGCAGTGAATGAATGAAAGTGGCAGAAGGAAACATGAATGACAGCAGCAGCATCTGGCCCAGAATGGAATTTACCTACGGACCACAGGGTCAGGTCTTCCTCAGCACCTCTGACACTAACGCACTTCCGACACTGTATGCCATACACAACACACCTAAAATAACACCATCTCTGGAGGGGCAGGCATCAGCCCACGGAGGCAGCATGGGTTTTGTCCAACAACACCAGTTTGAACGGCTCCCTCCAGAGAAAGTGCCAACGGTTCGTGAATGGTCATGCATGCTAGATGGGAATGAGTTTTTCCAGGTCTCATGCAAGAGACCCTCACGCAGAGTAGCGTATGGAATTTGGTTTATCTACCCAGGAAGGGGAAGAGATGAGTTGACCCTGATAGGACTTGACCCTGTCGTCCTAAAAACCTAGGAAGCTTTTTAGAGCAGTGGTTCTCAACTCTTTGGGCTGCAGCCCATCCCACTCAATGCAAACCTTTCCATGGGCCACCAGCCAACCACCCATGACGACAAAATGGGTGCAGGTGGGAGGTCATTCCAAGAAGTTGGGTGCAGGAGTGGGCTGGGGGTGGGGGGTTCTGGGCAGGAGGGTGGGAGCAGGAGCGGGGTGTGTGTGTAAGGTCCTGGTGGGAGAGGTGCCTGAAGAGCCATGGAGATGTGGGGTCTGGGCATGTGGTAGTTTGGGGGGCGCTTACCTGGCTCTGCGCCTCCTGCCACTCCCAGGCACCACCCCACCGCTGCTCCCAATGGTCATGATTCCAGCCAATGGGAGCAGCGGGGAAAGCCTCCAGTCGAGGGGTTTCCTGTGCTGCCATTCTCCCAGCTGGGGGGAGGGAGCCTCTTCTTCCCCCCATGAGCTGGATCCAGCCTGCAAGGCTTGGGACTTCCTCCCCAGGGGGAAGCTGGCACTGGTGCGCCAACCACGTGGGGGGGAGGGCTGCGGGGTGGAGCACCAGCACAGGCTCCCTGCTGCAGGGGGAGCCGAGCTCTGAGCCTGCAGCCCACCTGCACGATGGACACGGACTGCTAGTGGGCCACAGACCACATTTTGAGAACCACTGTTTTAGAGCATTAGTCGGTCAACAATGTTGCTAATACAGAGCTGGCCCAAATTAGATGCTAATGCCCTTTCAAGACCACAGCCCAAGCGAGGTTGTTACCACCCTGGTGCGTACTGAGGCAGAAGATGTCTCTGCCAGACTTTGCCTCATGGGTAGGAGGAAGAAGCCACTCATGGTATTTTCTACCTCCAGGGAAGTGCTTTCCTGTGCTTATGCTGTCATTCTTCTCTGGGGCTTGTATTCAGCATGCCTCACCTGCCCTAGAGGCACCGCAGAGATGTGCTCAACACTGAGGCGGGCAGGTAAACCACACACAGCCGTAGCAGAACCCCTCTGAGGAGAGTCAGTGCTATTATCCCCATTTTATGGAATGGCAAACTGAGGCAGAAAGGCATCTCCAAACTAATCCAAGGCCACACAGGAGTCAGTGGCAGAGCCTAGATTTCCAAACTCCCGGCCCTGCGCGCGATCCGAGAGAGGTGTAACTTTGCACCCGGCCCCCCACACTGCCCTTTAAAGCCTTTGCAATGGCCATCCAGGCACTCATTCCTGACGCCCAGAGAAAAGCCACGTGAATTCACGGTGCATTGACAGAAGCGCAAGCTCCACAAAGGAGTTATTAGCACCAAGCTGTGTGGGTTTGAATTTCCCCGAGTTTCCCACACTTTTCCTCTATTGACAGCATTTCTTGTGTGGACAATAGACGTGTGCCTTGCAACTACTTGCAACATTAGTGACGGTGCCTGAGCCTGAATGAATTCAAGGGAAAAAATCCAACTCCCAAAAGACCATCTGGCTAGCAGTTATAATACGCCAATAAAGGCCAGGGCTGCCTCTCAGGAGTTGGGAAAAAGATGCTCTTTGACACTGAATAGTCTCTTTAACCAGCTTGGTACAACGACTATCTGTCAGGCCCTAGCTTCAAGGTCCCTGGCCTTCACTCCGGCACTCTGGGAAAGATGACATGGGACACAGCCTTTTGGACAGGGCAGTGAAATGGGGCAAGGCAAAGGGCAGCATCTTATTAGAGCTGGCAAAAGCCAGTGGGGCCGACAAACCATCCCTTGGATGCATCTTAGCTCATGTTTTAATCCATCGTCTGGCTCAAAATGTTCATGAGATGACCGATCTCCTGGCTTTCCCAGAACACAGGGAATAAAAGGCTCAGAGGACAACATCTGTCCCTGATAAAGAACTAAGCCCATTCAGGCCTGTACAATGAAAACCATGAAGCTGGCTACGTCCCCGACTTCCTTTCCTGACAAATGCCTATTAAACTCAGGCGTTACTTCAGGGCTCTCCACACCAGCAACAGTCACTGGCTTTCTTTAACCATTGCCGAGTTCCAACTACACACAGTTCCGTTTTTCTGCTTATCTGCTTTGCCTCCGTGCTCCACGCATATCGTTTGTAAAAAAACAAGAGCCCCTATCTTACACAATATGGACCAGACCTGCTGCTGGCAGAAATCAGCATGGCTTTACTGAGATAAGCTCCAAGCGCAGCCCTTCCATAGCTCCAAATGTAGCCCTCTTTAATCTATCTCCATATACAGGCAGTCCCCAGGTTACGTACAAGATAGGGACTGTAGGTTTGTTCTTAAGTTGAATCTGTATGTAAGTTGGAACTGGCGTCCAGATTCAGCCGCTGCTGAAACTGACCAGCAGCTGACTACAGGAAGCCCAAGGCAGAGTTGCTCTGCCCCGGGCTTCCTGGAATCAGCCTCTGATCAGTTTCAACAGGCTGAATCTGGACGCCAGTTCTGACTTACATACAGATTCAACTTAAGAACCCCAGGCGTCCCCAAGTCAGCTGCTGCTGAAACTGATCAGCGGCTGATTCCAGGAAGCCTGGGGCAGAGCAACTCTGCCTCAGGCTT